ATAATGTAAACCCAGACAAACAACAGAAAATAGAAATAGACCAACACACACACACACACAAACACATATAATTTAAAAAAAAAAAAAAAAAAAGTGATTTCATAAATGGTATGGGTCTATGTGTGCATATTCAATCTTTTGAAATTCCTCCGGCTTTTAAACACCATAGCAAACACTCATCAGCTACAAAAATTCAAAGAAATATTCTAGGGTGACACAAACCAACTTGTTTGTTTTTGTGACTTTTTTACATGTATATGCAGTTCAATTATAATATGAGCACATAACAGGCCACAAATATGTGATATTGCATGGCAGACAGGGAGTAAAGAAAAAAAAAAAGAAAACCTTCTCTCAGACATGATCTTGTGTATCACATCTACAAGCAAGCATGAGCAAATACATGTAAAAAGGGAAATTAAAAAAGACTACCTGAGGGCTAGATTTGGCAAACTGTGGTCATTTCCTGCTTCAATACATGTAATTGGCAATGAAGCAGGTGGTCCACCTTTTGAAGCCTCATCAAAAACAACCGTTATAGCATCAATGTAGACTACAAGATCTGCTATATGCACTGGAGCAACATTCTGCGACCAATTTCATACCATGTAAGAACTTGGAAAATTTAAGAAAAAAATTAAAGGCCCAGACCTCATGAATCATGAATGGGGCATGAGAGAGAAGACAGAATTTATCATGACATTGTCACCCAATAAAAAAAATAATTCCTTGCCTTTATCTGAACAGAGAGAAGATCATCAGTATTGCAGTCAGCAGCATAAGAGTGTATCTCAACAGGTTGAATAATCTCAATCTTCTTCCTCCATCGTCTTCCTGGAATATGGATTCCTTCCAATCCACAATGGACAGTAAACCTTTCTCGTTCTAGTAATACACCCCTGAAGGATAATGGCCCTTCTATTCCCTTCATTCGACTTGTCAAAATCTTCTGGGATGAGTAATGATCCCATTCTTCCAGGTTGAAGGAAGGCTTAGAACTTTGGACATTAACAGGCCCAGTTGGTGGGAGAGAACTTTGAGGAAGTGATGACATGGAGTAACTTCTTAGATGACCAAAAGAGAAGAGCTGAGAACCAGAGGAGGAAGAAACATACCTCTGAGATGTGCTAGCAATCCCAGAACTAGAACCTATAGCAGGAGGAGTTAAAGTACGAGGTAGGGGAGGAAGAATGTTATCCAAAGGAAGCAGCCACTTTAAGAGCTCACTACAAGGGTCCTGATTTGCATTATTTAAATTGTTCTGGTTGTCAGAAGACTTTCTATCCTGACATTGCTCAAATTGAAGAATCTCAATGACAGGATCTCTCAAAGAATCAACACCAACATTCACTTGTAAAAGTACCTGCATCCTTCCAAAAAGAGAATTAGTATGAGAATAGTAGTCTGAATAAAAGTTTACCTTTTGGGCAAAGAAAGAAAGAAAGAAAGAAAGAAAGAAACAACAAGTCACCTAATCAGAGCTTAAGAAATATAAATTTCAGGAGAAGTTAGTAAAAAGTTCACCTAAAATCCACGAATGTAGCATCAGCATGTTTTTGCACAAAAAGCATGATCAGTTTAAATAAAAAAATAGATTTCAACAGCACATATTCATTCAGTAGTATTATAAAAAAGCAATAGAGCAACAAAGAGAATTTTTAAGAACAGAACAGTCAACAAGTTATATAACACATACCACTATGTCACCATTAGGAAGAGAGCAACACCTAACAGCATCTCTAGCAACTCCACCAGAAACATTAGCATCAAAATTTCCTCTATCAATAACTGCATTAAGACAAGACATGTTCTTCACAGCTTTTTGGGTTTCATTTGCAGTAGACTGTTGACGGTCCATCTCATACGACTCTGATAATGTCCGAGAACCTTTTTTTGACCATAGAGGCTCACCTGACTCAGCAATCCTAACAAAAAAATGGGAGTCCTTAAATCTTTGCAATAATGTTTCTGTTCGTCTTCTTTGATCCTCCATCCTAAGAAATGACTCACTAGCAGAAACATCCTTTTGCAGATCGGTCTTCTCTCTTTCAAAGTTTTTACCGTTCTGATCTATTACTTTACTAGTATTACTCACATCCCCTTCTCTGGACACTGATCTTGTCTCCCCTTCCATGGTTCCATTTTGTTTCTCTATACCCTTCCCCAAGATATTTTTACTCATTACTGCAGCAACTTTAAATGGAGTAATAATTTCAGTTTCCTGCTTACATGCTGACAAACATGCCAGAATATGGACTTGTTCACCTGGAGCAGAAAATAAGATAAGGTCTCGCATCAGGAAAACATCTCCAAGTGCCAAATGAATCAACTAAATGCCATAACTGAAATAAGCATTTGGTACCAGGAAAAACAAATGACCGGTCCAGGGAAAGAAGAGATTGTATATCTGGCGCAAGATTCCAATCATCAGGGAGAGCCTCTACAAGAATACATCAATATCAAGGATTAAATATATAACAATGAAAAACTACACAAACAACACAGATAAAATGAAAAGAAAGTCAATGCTTAAGGAAAAGCTCCAGGAAAAATATAATGCCCGAAGTAGACTTATGCAACAAAAGATATCCAGCAATCATATGCTAATGCTAATAGACTTTTATCTAGGTTAATCAAAGTTGATCCATTAGATGGAGTAACAAGTCATCACCACCACAATCCTACACAATAGAGATTGGAAAAGAATTGAGACCTAAAACCAGCAAAATCCATGTATACCAAATAATGATGACCAAAATTTACTTCCTGTAGCATCAAAAATCATCGTTTAGAATTATCCTATATATACACTGGTTATCGTACCTACCTTCATGGTTAAGTTGTCTAAGCCTATCCTTTGCCAGAAAAAATCAGAACTTCAAGGCTTACATGAAACATCAGTCATTGTGCTTGACAACTACAACTGTTTAGATGTTACAACAAAAGCCGCAGAGAAGTTTAACTGATCAAAGTGTCTGAAACTCAAAAACAGAACCTCTACGACAAAAGTAATTCTTCGAATTACAAATTTAGCTTTCAAGTGGCAAGGAAGGAGAACGGCTGACAGATAGAGATAGCCATAGCACAGAACTCAAGAAAAATTGCCCTAGACATTTCAGTTTTTAAGTTAACACCTCTTCACCAAGAACTGGTCGCTTTATTAGCAAAAACAATGCCCAAGGCAGTCAATGTTCAAAATAAGCAATCAATATCATACTTTTCCAGCACACTTCATGTTTCAGGCAATAACATCTAATCCTTCAGAATTACTTCAATGAGTTGATGTTCTCATGAACCATGATGTTTTTGACTTCTAGTTAAAGATGGATGGTATTAGAAGATCAAGGTTTTGCTAAAAGCATTTTCTCCAAGGCATAGAAAAGCCATTTAATTTAACTGCCAGTAGCCAGAAACTAAGAATATAAATGCCAAGAAATCTTCAATTCACACCTAGTTCTAACTTCCAGTATTTAGCAATGCTCCTTTTATTCACAATCCAGACCAATCCAAGATGAAAAATTTATGTTAATGCATAAACAGAGCTGCATATTAATTTATTGAATAATAATATAGGTCAAGTTAACTGTTATGGTAAGGGTGTACTGTATGGAATAGTAATCCATCCTTCTTCTTCAGAAACATTGGTGTGGTTCTCCATCATAGCAGAAATTTTCTTTTTGCTTGGACCCACAACACCACCATTTTCACCTTCAAAGCCATCATTTTCTTCATAGTGATCTTCTTCTGCTGGATACTGTGGAAATGGATCCTCAACAATAAGGCTTTCTAGAGTCGTAGATTTTGGTGCTGACGTTGAGTCCACCACAGGTTCAGGAATTGGAGGTGGTTCTGCAGTTACATGATGGGTGGACCGAAGCAGAAAATTCATTGTCCCACCAAATCAATGTCTGCAAGATCAAACATGACATTCCTCAGCTTTAAGACTGGATCTACAAGTTTACCATGAAATTGAATGTGCAATTAAAACATACAATTTCAGGCATTAATCTTGTTTTGAACACCTCTTGCTTCAGTTTCACTGATCTAAACTAATATCAACCAACTGATTTATTTTTTCCTTTTTTTGAGCAGAAAAAGGAATATTTATTTCAGCGAGCCAAGGAAAACTAATTATACTTTCTATATTAACACCGCGCTACACCATCCTCCTGAACTGTAACTGCCATAAACATTTTCCTCTGCTTTTTAGCCCCTAAGAACTAAATTATAAACCCAGTTCTTCTTCAGCTCAGAAATGGGGATTAAAAAAAAAAAAAAACTAAAATATAAAAAAGAAGAGAAAAAATCACACAAAACCAAATCACTTTTCTCTGAAATTTAATTCCTGACAAAAACATAAACATAAATAGATTCTCAACATACTTTCACAATTACATTCAACTTTGTCTCAATCAACTTACAATAATAGCAATAACTAAGTATAACAACTACATTGAATTCTGCTACTGAATTGAATAGTGAACAATATGAAATTTGACGCATCAATCACAGATGCCATCGCCATGCAAATCGAAACATGGTGGAAAGAAGAGGCCATAAGCTTTAAGCTTTTCCGTCAAAAGGAAGCAGATAAAACATCAGAAATGTGGAACTAAAATCATGCTGCAGGATTAGTGAATTCCGTCATCAGAGAATGCGATCTATGCATTCCGATTCAAAGGACGTGATGAAGTTACCTGGTCGGAGATCAAGCAGCGAAGATTCGGTACCGGGGAAAATGAAGATCCAATTTCTGCCGCTAGCGGGCTTTAGATTTGACACAGCTTCGTTTTTTCCCGATTCGATCTACGTCGCGGCCTTTTGTTCTTGATGCTCGGGTCGGGTTGAGATGGTGCGCCGTTGCTTTCAGTATGCAGCCCAATATTTTAATGAGCCAGAGGCCTTAGCCAATAAATGCATGCTTGAGTCAGCCATAGAAATATCAATCCTTATTATTAATGACGTTTCCAAGGTAGCCTTATTGGGCCTAACCAGCCCAAAACAATAACCATGGAAGATGTTTTATGTTTACTTCCACTCTTGTGCTTCTGTTGTTACTTCATGGTCGATTGCTCCGCATGTGCTCCTACTAATTGAAACTACAAGAAACTACCCTTATAACTTTTAGCGGTTTATATGGGTGGTAATTTAGAGTTTGGATGCAAGGAAGGGAGGAAGCTCGACTAACTCTACGATAAAGAATTCATCATACAATTTTCAAATCCTTTGCATTTTACAATCTAGAAGCTAATCAAATTGATTTCGAAGGTGGGCTTTTGAATTTGATATATGGGTTTCGAATTTTGATGGCTGATCTCTATTCTTCATGGTGACACATTCCCCTTCCTTCGTCCGTTCTCTTCATCACCACGGACCACTTGATCACCATCAACTCTAAGCTTCAGATCATGGAGAAGGAGAGCCAAAGTTCAAGAAGCACGAGGAAAAGAACCAAGGGTATCAAAGAGGAGATTGAAAGACAAAAAACAACAAGCCATTAAAGATCAACTAGCGATTAGAACCAAAGCCATTGGGTAGAGTAGAGATCAGAAGGATGAGAAAACTACTTTCTCCCCACTGTTTCTAAAGGATGAGACTGGTTTTTATCCTTTCAACTGCAAGAGTAGAAGTTTACAACATATGCCTAAATAAGTATGCACATATTAGTCCTTTCAATTCCTTTTTATTTCCCCTTTCATTGAAAATACAAATTAAAGTTCCATTCATGGCTTTTGTCTAACCAAAATTGAAATCTTTAGCTACCTAAAGATGCTTATGAAAAGAGTCCCATGTACATACCCTAAAAAAGCCTATAGCAAGTTTAGTAAATTAAGTGACTTTAACATGTTTCCTTCACATTTTAGATAGATTTGATGGTGGATGATGATTTTTAGTTGGTTTGTCTTGGTTGTTATGGTTATTTGGATTTTGGAAGCTTTACTAAAAAACACTTATAATTTGGAGTGTGAGAAAAATTTTAAGTAGAAAGAAAAACCAAAATTATGTATCTAAAATGGATTATACACTTATTGTAGCTGTGTTATATGTATCTTAAATTGATAGTTTTGTGTTTTTTTTTTTTCTTATTACATATACATTTGTTTGATAGGAATGCTATTGTGATTCACAAAATTTATAACCTATAAGTTTATTTTTTTTATTTAATTCAAAAATTAATTTTGTAGATACAAAAATCTGAAAGGATTACTTCCATTATTGCATGGTTTATAATACAAAGGTGGAAATACAAAGTTTAACTTAGAGGATTGTTCAATGATGAAGAATGAAAATTTGTTTCCCTCAAAAGGTGGCCCCATCATCCTCTCTTAGGTAAAGAATTCTTGGTATTTGGAATTTTTAGAGTTGTAATGCAATCTATTTGGCTAAACTCTTAGTCATAACTTTGATTTTCTAAAGTGGAAGATCTTAAAGGATGAATTAAAGACTAATAATCGTAGATGCTTTTCTCATTTCTATAGTTTGAGAATGAATATGGGCTAGAGAGTAAATCACGTTCTGGTCATGTATACTTTATTTGGGCAATAAAAATGGTTGTGGAACTAGATACTAGAGTCTCATGGGGGATGTGCAGGGAATATGATGTCATATACTTTAAAATATCGTATTTGCTATACAATCTTTCTTATTCATTCTTCTTGATAGAGTTGTCTTCATTTATCATTTACTTTAAACTAAATTATCTTTTGCGTTCGCTAAATTTTGATGTTGTCTTATGCAAAGATGAAGTGCTTAAGCTAAAGGATTAATCAGCAATATACTATGAGTGTAAGAGATGATGCTTTTGAGTTTCTCATTTAAAATAGTTGTAAGAAGTCTACCTAAGCTTTTAAAAGATAGGGAGATGCCCATAACTTAGCATGTTAGCTCTTTTTGGATTATGTTCATTGGCTTACTTGATTTGAACATTTCATGAAGCAATAGTTTAGCTTTTACTCTGTCCACTTATCTCCAAGAAGTCTATAATAAAATATGTCATGTTTTAGAAGCACAACTTATGTGGGAATGCCTTGCATATGTTACACAAAAAAATGTAATTGGCTACAAAGTATATCTACAGATCCAACACAAATTTTTAATTGGATTTAATTCCAACAATTCACATGTGAAGCATTGTATATAAGTTTAATAAATAAATTGATATAACATAAGGTATAATTATATAGGTTGTGTAGACGATGTTAATTCATTGTTAAAAAAACTAATAGAAAAACATATATAGATACTAGATGCTAATAGTGATTGACAAGATGATAAGGGGAGAGATGTAGAGAATGGGAGAGGAAATACATCTTACTTAAAAAGTAATTATGAAATTGTGTTATTAACCCTTAGTTTCTATATAAAGTATAACATTTAATTTTTCTATTACCAATAAGGAGGTTCAAGAGGGGTGTATCACCTAAAGTAGTTAGGACTTTTAAGATGACCTAATAGAAATTGTGTTATTAACCCTTAGTTTCTATATAAAGTATAACATTTAATTATTCTATTACCAATAAGGAGGTTCAAGAGGGGTGTATCACCTAAAGTAGTTAGGACTTTTAAGATGACCTAATAGATCCAAATGAAGACACGAGGTAACAATTTCATTATTAATGTATTGTTATTATTTCTACAAAAATATCACTGTTATATTAGGTGATCTCCATCTCCATAAATAATATAGATCTTTGGCTGAAAAAGATTGTCATAAATTTCCCTGTTTCTGTCTATATATTAATCTCTCAGAGTCATTTTACAAGGATATCCTTTTAAGTTCAATCCTAGGTAACTATATTAATGCACTAAATAAAGGAATACTAGAAAGGAAAATTCAAAAATCTGGAAATTAGCTTGATGAGAGGGAAGTTTTTATATTATTATCTTTAATTCGTTTCACCAGTACAATTTCCATATTGGTTTCAAAAGTGTTAAATGCTTGTGCAAAATGTAAATAGTGGAAGAAAGTATAATTTCATTTAAAAAATAGTTATTTTCTATACGTTGGAGAGGCTTGGTAAAATGAAATCACTCTTTTATATTATCAAGCATGCTCCAAGTATGTTTGTCTCCTTTTTCTCATTTAATTAATATTTAATGTCAAGTTTCTAAATTTTTTTCTTAATTTAGTAAAACCAATTTTATTTAGAAGATCTACATCAATTTTAAGTTTAATCAGAGGTGCATTTTCTATGTTGCTATTTACATTTTGAATTTAAAAGAATGTTATTTCTATTGTTAATTAATACATATTTAATTCATATAAGAACAGGAAAATAGTAAAAAAAAAAATAAAAATAGTAGGTTAGGAAGATAATTTCTCACTTTTATTCATGGGAATTGATGCATGAAGCAATTACATTAGATTTAATTGGAATTATTTCAGGATTGATTCTATTTATTTAGCATAAGGTCTGAATGCAATTTATAATTTTGAAAGTTAAATTCTTTGGTTATGTTTGTTTATTTCCTATTTATTTCCTAACTAATATTGGAATCTTCACTTTAATTGATTTTCTTATTTCCTTCTCCTTTGGAATATTAGGATTATTTTCTGGTTTTGTAATTAATACAGGATGTTGTTGCTCTATGACCTATCTAATATTAGGATTCTAATGTTCTATTGGGCATTTAACTTGGGGATGAAACCAATTTGGCTATTGTAATTGGATATGATTGTCTTATGAATTTTGTTTGACGTTAAAAGAGTTCAACAACTTTCTATCAACTTTTTGTATGAGAAGATTTTGAAAGAATAAGGGTTTGAGAAAAAAGACATGTCATGTTGAAGAACTTGGAACAACATGTCATATTGAAGAAGCTTAGAGAGGCATTGGAAAACAAGCTTAGGCGTAGAAGCCACTTGCCAATAAATAAGAGGCAGAAGCCTTTTATCAAGAAGATAGAATAAGTGGTTAAACTTGAGGGAAAATGATGTTTATACAATTGTCAGTAAAGGCAAGGTAATTCTATTGTTTTCAATTTACTTGCTTTCTTATAGATAATCTTATAAATGTCTTAAGGTTTTTATAAGTATTTATAAAAGTAAATCTTTTATTTTTAAACTGAGGCAATGGAATAGTTTCTTAAGTAATTTTTTTATTTATTTAGTTTTTTTTTTTTTTTTGGTTAAGGGTTACTATGGTGATGCATCAGTAACTTTGCAAAGATGTTGATGAGGAAGCAAGGAATTTGGTTAAAGCTTATACCATGTATAATTATATCTTTGTGAAGTATATTTGAAGCCTCTTATTCATGCAATAGTCTTAGATTTTAAATAAACAATATGTTAAAAAAACGATGACATACTAAGCTGTTAAACCTTAGGATCTTGTTATAGCTTAGTATTTGTATTAACTTACCCGTCAGTTAATAAGAAAATATTAATTAGAATAACCAAGAATATTGTCTAAATATATTTATCAATGTCTTAGAGTTTTAATATGTTGCTCTTTATTCTATACATATACACATGCACGATACCTATTAAAGGTGCTCCCAATAATGACTCAAACCCCTCAGTCGTTGCAACCCTTAATATTTTCATTCTGTTTTCGTATTCTTTCACCAAAAAAACATTCCTCACCATATTATCACTAATCCTTGAAAGCTTTTCATGGGATACAACTGGTAACTGTAGGATTCTTCTCAATATGGATGTTATTCCAACTAAAAAGAAGTTTAAAAGAGGAACAATTTTGATTTCTTTTTCATTACAAATTATAGATAGATTGGCCATTTTGTACAAAGCTTGGTAATCAAGGCGGGGATCCACAAGTCATGGCTCCTCTGTGCCTTTCAGAGGCATGGGCAGC